TGTATATATATATATATATATATATATATATATTAATTTATATGTATAATATACATATGTACATGTATATTGTATATATACATATTTTGATAAAATGTGTTTTATTACAAATTATTTTATTTATTAAAATAAATATTTATAAATAATAATGATTATAAAAATGTTATATAAATAATAACATATATAATAAAATTCCATTGTTATTTTTCCATTCTGAATGTTATGTGTATTTAATTAAATCTATGATAAATTTCTTTGAGCATGATAATATATGCATGTTAATATGATTTGTTATTATGTAAGAATAAATTAAATAAATAATTAAGTAAATTAAGTAAATTACATTAACATTCCATGCTGAATATAGTCAAAAAAAAATTTTAAGATTTAACAGCATTTAATATATCTAATATCTATGAAACACATTTCTTTCCTGGAGAAATAAATCTATAATATTTTTGATAATACGAAGTAATTGTTTTATAAAAAAAGATTTGATAGAAAACGATTCAATAGAGTCGTTCTATTTATTTCTTAATGGAAATGAAAAAGAAAATTAGAAAAATAGAAATAGAGAAAAAATGTTGTTGAATTTGTGGAAAAAGAAATATTGAATTATCTTTTAATATCTTATCTGAATTATGAAAAAAAAATAAAATATTAAAAATTGTATAAACGAATAAAATATTTTCCAAATTACTAAATGATGCATCTAATTAAATATAATAATTAAATATAATATACTCGTTTTAATTTTCGATTTTTTTAATAGTCAGATTTTTTTTATAATGAAATAGAAATTTATAATTTTTGATATAATCAAAATACATTATTATAGACATCAAAGAAAATAATAAAATATAAATATATAGATATCAGAAGAATACTTAAAAGATAATTAATTATTAAGAAAACTTTTCCACAATAGAATGTTACATTTTTCCAAGTTCATGCTTTATCAATGAAAAAAAAAAAATAAAGATAACGATACTTAAAAAAATTATTTTATGAAATAATTATTTGCAAATTTTTATTTACACAATCGAAAGATGTTTTCAGAATTTTTTATTCCATTAATCTCTATCTTTTTAAATGATTCTTATAAATCTTCCTTATTTGTAATATATCAGAATTTGACATATTTCCATAAATCATTTCTTTTGCATATTTTTGCAATAATCTAATATCAAAAACTTATATAAAAAGTTTTTCGATGTATATATATTTCTTAATTATTTATACAATTTATATAATTATAATTTTTTCCATAAAAATTGAAATAACTTTTTGAAAAATATTCGATATTTCGTAGGATGCTTCAAAAAATGTTAATATTCTCAGAACTTTTTTTTCAATATTTTAATATTTAATATTTAACATTCTTTACATTTTACATTTTAAACTATTTTCTTTATTCAAAAATTATAAAAAATTTATATTTAAATTGCGAAAGTTAAAAAATAAAAAGAAATTAAAGTAAAAAGTTTAATATAATTTAAAAAATTATATTAAAAATCTATCTATATTAATTAAAATTTCTCATATTTTGAAGTCATTAAAATGTATTCCTAACCTAATAAATTTTTAATTAAGTTATATTTAAAACTTATTATTTATTATATTAAAAACTATTTATCATTTAACGATTCACATTGTTATTTATTTGCATTTAATATATTTCAGTGATTTGTCAAATCGAAAAAATGAATAAGATTATGATGGATCTCTACAAATTCAATGCGAATATCTCGGTTACATTGACGATAACAAATCATATCATTCATTTGGTCACCGTTTCAAATACATAAATATAAATACTAAATGGAACAGAGAGAATTTTTGAGATAAGAACAGATGAATCAAAATCGTATATATTACAGTATTCGATGCCAAGTCACGATTCCAGATTTTTGCATTCTTTCATTTTATAAATTGATCAAATATAAAACACAAAAGATCAATCCATGTATGTATCAATCAATGTATGTATTCTGAACTATTTTTTCTAAGAAATTTCAAAATATTAATGATGTTCGTGCAAATTTTATAAAACATAAAATATTTTAAGTAATAATTAATCGATTATCATTCTTTTTAAATTATTATTATTTATATATTATTATATAAAATATTTTATAATATTATATAAAATTAAATTAGGTTAGATTATTATTTAATTTGATAATTCATTGAAATATAATATATTGTATCAAATCGACAATTCCATTTTATAAATCTGAATTATACATATAAATGGATACAAATTGTTCATCATTTTTTTCCAATTAAATTTTCTTCGTTCTTTATTTTATATATAAAAAATTATTGTTTGCACGTAAAAATTTTAATTTTAAAAATAGTGTACAATCATTCTATTACAAAAACAGAAGAATTTTACTTTAATAGTAAGTTATATTTTACAAATATACTATCCAAGTTTATATTCAATAATTTATATGTAATATTAATCTAATATTATTTTAGTTATTTTGTCGCGCAATAGTGTTTTGAAAATAAATTTAAAAAATTATTTACCCAGCTTGAATCTGCTTCAAATGTCAACCACATTCGTGGATCTGGTAACCATGCGTTCATTTTGTTTAATAACACAAGTTAAAAAGCATTTAACACACCAATGATAAATTACTTAGTACCTGCCACTCATATATTTACGATGGCGTCTATTTCAAATAATGAAAGTATCATTTCATTGCCGAGACGTATTATGTTCGGTTATGTATATGTATATAGAAGAAAGCAAGCTAATTCGATTCCACTTGCTAATAAGAAACCTAATCTCCTCATTGGAAATAAGTAATGGGTGTTTCCATTAAGTCTGCTTTTGTACCAACAATGTCGTTGTTTCATGAATATAAATGTATAACACAATAGATATTATATATATTCTTGATTTTGTGTTTTCTATGATTAATTTATGGAATTAATCTATGGGATTTTTTAGAAAAAAAATTGAATACTGGATTTGTCGATATATCCAAAAAAAGAATAATAATTATTTGTGAGTATAAATATGACTTATTACATAAAATAAAAAATAATGAAATTCGTTATTTTTTTCGAGATAAATTAAAAACATTTGAAACAATGCTTCCATATTAAATTTATATATAATTATATAATTATTATAATTCATATAAACACTATTTAATATGATATTTTTTTTAATGAATTTAACCTTTATATTCTTTTTAAAATTATAAGAAATGTTGAAATAAAAAGTATAATATTCCATTTAATTTCAATTTCTATATATTATTAATGTTATTTAAGAAATAAAATTTCTACGAAATTATAATTTTTTCAAATTCTTGTCTAATAATTTAAATGATTAGCAATTAGTAATTTTTTTTCGTGTTATTACGATTTTTATAATATGCATAAAAAATTTTTTCTTTAATTTAAATATTTTTATTCAAAACAATATACGATTTCACCAATTCCTTATAAAAAAAAATTATTAAAAAAAAATTATACAAATTAAAATCACAGTCATTGATATTCTACATGATACCAATAACTTGGCATACTAATTTTAATAAAAAAAAATACATAAAATACTACATTACACTCATTAGCACTATACACGTTATAAATATTAAATAATTTTAATTTTCTAAACTTACCAATTAACAAAAAATAGATTTTCTCGGATATCCGTCGTCATGTATGATTGAAAACCGTGGTTATTCAATCTAAAAAAAAAAATCACAAAAATATATCAATAAAACTAAATTTGAAATAAAAAAATTAATTTTCCGAAAAAAATACATATTTTTAAGTAATGATATATAACAAAAATTTGCTTCATTGTAAATATGTGATAAAAGAAAAATAAAAACATTTCTTATTTAAATCTCATTAAATGCGAACGAAGAAAATAAATATGTATTCTTAATCATCAAATTCAATATAAATGCATATCAAATAAAAAAATTACAATTATTTTGTTTTTTATATTAAGTAATGTTCTTTTCGAAACAATTTTTGATTATTCGGAAGTAATGAATAGCTTTTTTTATCGAGTATTCTAACCTCACCTGAAAGAACGCGATAACTTCTAAGCCGAATCCTGTTACTCAATAACATGGATCACACAGATATAATTTAGAAACATGATTCTCGACTAAATCGTGGATCACATTGCGTCAATTACACGATTTGAGAAATTCATCCAATCACACGATAAAATTGTAACACCAAATGTATTTCGTCTTTTTTCATTCAACGTTTACAGCATCACCACCAGGCGGTGCTACATTGAACTTGAACAGCTGATTTCTTATGCACGTGCGCCATACTTCTGGCATTTATACATAAAACTGTATAATATAAATTAATTTTAAAATTCTTTTATTTAAATTTAACTTCGCAAATAAAAATCAAGCTAAATCAAAGTAAAAAAGATTAATATATAGATAAAAAAAATTGGTTATAAAAAGATTGTGAAAAAAAAATTTTAATGAAAATAAGAAAAAATTATATATTAAAAATTTTAATGTTTAAATTTTTTTACACAAAGAATATTTTAATTAAAATTATTAAATATTTTTAACTTAAATTCTATATGAGAATTTAACAGAATTATATTTACACATGCAATTTTAAAAATATATTTAAAAGTGGAATCTTATAAATAAATAATATATATTAATTAAAAAATATAAGTATAATTTTTTTTTTCTCAACTGCAATATTTTAAAACAAATAAATATTAATGAGATATATATCTTCTTTTTTAGTGCTTTTCTCATTAAAGAATCTTTACTATTTTATATTCTATTATCCTATTTGAAAATAATAGAAGCAAACTTAATTATAAAATAATATTAGTAATTTATATATTTTTCTCTTTTTATATCCTATAATCTTATCTAATATTTCTATTATTATTCTATATTTCTATTATTCTATATATTCAAAAGCAAAATAAAATATGAAATAAAATTAATTTTTTATCCTAACTAATAGTATATTTAATATTAGTTTCTTATTAATAATTTTCACATCCATTCTATTGTTTTTTCTTTTTTGTTTAACATTGAATCAAAAACATTAAAAGTAGAATTTTAAAATAATTAGTAATTCACATTTTCTGTTTTTATCTTTAGCGAGTGATAAAAAATCTATTATGAAAAATTTTAAATTTACATATAAAAATTAATAAAAATAAATCTTCATACTTTATTTATTTATTTGAATCAATTATTCATATATATATATATTAGTCATAATATTTAATAAATTAATAACTTTTTTAAAATAAAATAATTCATTGAAGTCATTGGACGAAAGGTAATAATTATTGAATCAATTATTCATACATACATATTAGTCATAATATTTAGTAAATTAACTTATATAACTTTTTTAAAATAAATTAATTCGTTCAAGTCATTGGACGAAACTGTAATATTATGATAAATAATTAATATATGACGTATGAAATAAATAATATATAATAGAAAAAAATAAATTTTTTATTGTTAATAATTTTAAAAAACTGAATATTTTTATATGTAATATGAAAAACTGTTAATTGTTTTTATATTTAATATAAACTTTTATATTTAATCTGTTTTTATACAGAACAAATTGTACAAATTTTATTCTATTTCTATTTCTATTCTATTTCTCTTAAAATAATAATTATTTTATATCTATATCTATATCTATATTGTGTTAAAAAAATAATATATATATGATAACAACATATCTTAGTCAATATTATTTGATGTTTCGTCGTTCCATTTTTTTTATTGGTTATTATTCTTTAGGTTATGTTATACGTGTACTACCCACGTGGATTATTTTTTGACAACTATGTCAGATCCACTACCATTACCACAAAAAAAATATTATAGACAACGTGCACACTCTAATCCTATAGCAGACCATTGTTTAGAATAGTATGTAATTATTTTCTATAAAAAAATATATATATATAAATAAAAGTAATTCTATATAAACATCTTGCATTCTTTTGTTGAATATAATTTCAGTCCTATTAAACCTGATTTAATGAATTGGAATTCATTATATCCATTTTATTTTCCATTTAACAAAGAATCTAAAGAAGATAATGATGCAAAAAAATGTGTTGAATTTGTAGATATTGGTTGTGGCTATGGAGGATTACTAGGTATAAAAATATTTTTTATTTTATATTGTATTATATTTCATTATCTCTTATTAATAAAATATTTGTTTAATAGTTACATTATCACCAATGTTTCCTGATAATTTAATTCTTGGTATGGAGATTAGAGTAAAAGTTTCTGATTATGTTATGGATCGTATAGCTGCATTAAGATCACAATATCCTGGACAATATCAAAATATTGCATGTTTGAGAACTAATGCAATGAAATATTTACCAAATTACTTTCAAAAAGGCCAGGTATAAATAAAAAGTATGTTTTTAAATCTATAATATTGATTATATTTTTAATTAACACATATTTTTGTAGTTGAAAAAGATGTTTTTTTTTATATCCAGATCCACATTTTAAAAAATCCAAACACAAGTGGAGAATTATAAATAAAACACTCTTGGCAGAATATGCTTATGTATTAGCTGAAGATGTAATGTTTTTATATAATAATATTATTATTATATATTATATATTTAAATAATAATATTGTTTAAACACTTTTATTTTTTTTTATATCAATAAATAATTATATAAATATCATTTTAAGGCCATTGTATACACAGTAACAGATGTTAAAGATTTACATGAATGGATAGTAAAACATTTTCAAGAACATCCATTATTTGATAATATTTCTAAAGAAGAATTGGTAAGTTTAAGTTTTAAAAAGAATAAAATTTATAATTATGTTGAAAATTATTTTTTTAAAGGATCAAGATCCCATTATTGAGAAATTATATGAAAGCACAGAAGAAGGTCAAAAAGTAACAAGAAATAAAGGAGATAAGTTTTTAGCTATCTTTAAACGTATTCCAGATCCATTTGAAAAAAAAATTAGTTGATGTCAAATATATTATAAATATCATATATTTGTAAATAAATGAAAATTTTTATAATCATATTACATGTTATTAGTATTTGCAAAAGATACTCTATATCCTGGTTTCATATGTATATCTAGTTCATCTTCATCATCTGTATCTAAAAAATTACATATTATTTAAATATATATTTAATTATAATATAATATCTTAATTGTAATCCAAAAAATTAAAAAAAAATGATATTCAAAAAATTGAAATTAATAAACTACCTTCTTTTAATTCAAATTTAAGATCCGTTCTTTTCTGTTTTGGTAACATTTTGAAATAATTCCGATGCCGAGTATCTTCAACAGGGATTAAATGATTAACGTTTAAAGAGAATTCTTCATGAATTATATCAAATGACATCTGTAAAATAATAATCATTTATTCTTAATAAAAAATTGATATATAAATAAAATTTATTTTTTTCTTTACTCGTTCTAATATTGCTTCCATAATTTTTAATGGTGGTGATATATATGATCTTCGTATTAATCTTTTTCGCTCCGAAATATCCATTGTGAATTGAGTATAATACAAATTTCTTACAGGAATTAAATTATTTTCAATTGCTTTTATAAATCTTTTAGTATTAATAATATCCCTGAAAATTATTAATTTAAATTATTAACTTATCATATTAACTTATTATAAAAGAAAGTTACTTTTAATAATTAATAATAATTAATCATAAAAATAACGCAAAAAGAAATTTTTACCATAATAAATTTTCCAAAATAAGTGTTATTATATAGAGTTCTTTTTCTTTTATAACGTTATCATAATTTTTATTATCATCAAAATGAATTGCACTTGAAGGAGTAGCTTTCAGTTCTTTTAATAACTTAACTTTTATATTTTCATCTTCCACAGAGTATGTACAACAACGTATACTTAATGTTTTATAGTATCTATTTGGTTCATCAAGTATTTTTAACCATGGTTTCTATATAAAACATAATAATTATTTATAATAGAATTTATTATAAATAATATTTATTTTAACTAATTACTTACTGGTACATAAATGCCTTCTTCCGTAATAGTGAATTGTTCTTTTAATTCTTGACTTAAAATATTATGTTTAATGATGCTTCTTCGATATTCTCGTCTTTTGCTAGCGTTAAAAAACACACATGGTATATGAAAATCAATTCGACCAGGATATCCTGCAGTTTCAATTTTGACTCTAAAACTTTGTACTGAACTTGGTTGCATTATACCTTTCCGAGGAAATACATCAATACTCAATAGTCCTGGTATTTTTTGACTATAGATATTTAAAAATTTAAAGAAAAATGAAAAGAAATTTTTTGAAAAGAAAAATTTTAAAAAAGTTTTTAGGAAATCTAAAAATTTAAGTACCATTTCCATTTATAACCAAGTGCATCAAAATCTAAATTGTTATATATTAAAAGCATTCTAATAACACTACTATGCGTAGGTATATTCCATAAATTCATAGAATCAACACTAAAATATATAGGAAATAGTGGAGTTTTGCAAGCACAAAAAGCTGGTATTCTTCTCCAAACACTAATTAATTTAAAATCAAAAATTGATTCTCCCTGTAATGTCAATTCTTCTGTTTTATCGCCCATAATTATTGGAAATATTACCTAAAAACATATATATCTTAACTATATATCTTAAATATATATCAATAATTTTCAAATTATCTAATTATTTAATTTATATTACCTCATATTTACCAAACATTCTTGGTTGAAATTTAAATAAAAGAGGTATAGCTGTTCCACTTTTTATGATACCATCTTGTGTTAAACATGAAAAAATTTCACATTGATACTTCTCATTTATTTTATGAATATTACTAGTGTCTACAGAATATGGTAAATCATTATTCGTAATGTTAAATATCCAATGTGCCTAAAATATTATACTAATATTTATTATTTTAATTAAAATATTATTGAAAAAAAATTACGAAATTATACCCTATATGAAGGTTCTTTATTCCAAAATAAACTTTTCCAAAATTTATTGATGGAGTACTTAAGAAATTACTTTGTGAATCATGTTCTGTTAAACAATCAATGGTCACATTAAAAATAATGTGACGATCATGTCCAATATCTAGATCCCAAGACATAATTGTTTTTCCAGCTAATATATAACGAATGTTCATACCAATCACAGTTTCTTCTTCTGGCTACAAAATCAATCAATTAAATATTTTTCTGAATCTACATTTAATTTAAGAAAATATCTTTTTAAATACTTTACAAATTAAAAAATCATACATTTAGCATTTTTGATTTTATATATATTTCACAAATATTTTTATGAATACAATCAATTTCTATTCGCCGAGGCAAATAACCAATTGTTTTTATAACAGGTTCACAAGAACATTGTTTGATTTTTTTCATCTTTAGAGAAATAGGCAATGTTGAAGGATTGATTATTACCCATTTTAATAAGAGTGTTCCTTTATTTAGAGTCATTGGTAAGAGATTAATATTTATAGTTTCTGTTTCTCCTGGTAGTAAATCTAGTAGAATTTTATTTAATCTAAAAACAAGACAAATAAATAATCATATAATTTAATCAGTTATATAATCAATTTAAAAAAAAGTCAAAAAAATATATATACTTGTTTATTTGTAATCGATTCCATAAAAATTGTTTGCTAATGTGTATTGAATAGTCTTGATTATATCCAAAAGCACATAAATTGTCTACCTAATGTATGTATATATTATATATATAAATACTGCAATTTTTAATCATTTCTATGATTGAATAAATTTTAATTTTACTTTTATTGTGGGTAAAATACACATGCAAGATACACTGCAAATTTCTATTGGATCGTATCTATTTACTAATATATCTGAAGAAAAATTAATTCTTATTAAATATTGTATTGTAAATTCATAATATACTGCTGTGCGTGGAGTAATAGAAACTCTGATTTTTTTGGTTGATCCTGCAAATATAGTTTCTGATAAAGGATGTAATTTAACATCTCTTTTAATATCTCCAAGTTCCCAATTACGATGAGTACAAATTAATGTATAATAAATATCTACTAAACTAGGATTAACAAGATCAAAAGACAATGTCTTAGTATTGTTATATTCTAAGTCATCAAAATTTAATATATTTGGATGTGCCTAAAATTTGAAATTATAAAAATGTCAATAATTTCATATTAATTTCATATTGATTTTTAAAGTTATTTTATATAATTTTTACTTCTAATAATCCCATTTCACTACTTCCACGAATACGTAGATTTACATAACCTTTTGATCCAATAGTAGCTCCATTTTTTATAACAATCAAAAGGCATTGTATTTCGAAATCATAATCTCTATTTACTTCATTTGGAGCAAACGAACATTCTTGATATAATGTATCATTTGCATCAATTTTTCCATGGATATGTTCTACCTTAAATTCAGATGGTAAGTTATAAAATTCATATCTGTAAATAAATATGTGAAATTATTATTATTATTTATTTAAAAATACTTTTATAGATTTTTTATATAAAAATATTGATTACTTTATTTGATGACGAGTAACATTTCTCATTCCAAGTTGTAAAAATTGTTGGCAACCTGGCAAAACTGATGGGAAAGTTAATAAATTATTATTATTAAAAACAATATTTGCATATTCTGCATATCCTTTAAAATCTATATAATTTTCATTTTTTGTATTTCCATTAAAATATATTGTCCATCTTTCTATATAAATTTGTTCATTTTTAGGTTTAGATGTCATTTCAACAATAATTATTTGATAATCTCTGTAATTAATTTAGCAATTAATAATCTCTAATCAAAATTAAATTCATAAATATATTAAATAAATTATTTGTCATACTGATAAATTACACCAAGCATTGGTTTTACAATGAAATGACTTGCTGATGGTGAAACAAATTGAAACATAAGAGGTAAATGACCAAATTTTTTAATCAGAAAAGTGGTATAAACTGGATATGGTGGTACACTTGGTGGCATAATTACTGTTTGAGGAATTTCATATTGTGGAATCCACCCATTTGATGTAATAGGAAAAGAATGACCTGAAATATACTTAAAGTTTTAAATATTTTATTGTAACATATTTCATTATCATTTGAAACATTTCTAATTCATATTCAATTTTCAATGTGAATAAAAATCTTAAACTCTAGCATAAAATATTTTTCAAATCTTAAATATTTTTATTATAATATAATATCAAATAATATCAAACCTATTACTGTCATTGATAAAACAAATGGGAAAGTAAAAAGCTTTTCTTGTTCCAAAAAAACAGAACAAATAATCTCTCTTCCAAAAAGATTATTTTTTATATTAGGATTAAATGTAAGTTCAAATAAAGCAGATTGATTCTTACGAAGTACCATTTCAGAAGGCGTTACATAAAAAATTCCATCAGTGTCTATATAAAAAATAAATTAAAAAGTCAATGAACAAAATTAATTATGTATATAAATTCTTTCTTCTAGATATACCTTTTTCCCAGATAATTAATAAATTTGAATGAATATGATTTGTGAGACATATTGAGCGAGGTATTTTCTGAATAATATTTTCTACATCAACATCGACTTGACCAAAATTGAAATAATGTTTTGATAAAGATGCAGGAGGTAGATATTCTAATGTATCTGTAGCATCTCTCATATATCCTTTAAAGCCATCTTTTTCCATCCAAGGATAAGGAATAGAATTTTTAGTTCTTTTTTAATAAATACTGAATAACAATAACCATATAATTCTATAATAATTGGTTCCTATATTATAATCAAATTTATAAATAAATGAATAAAAGAATCCTCTGCTGGATATTATAAATTTTGATTGAGTTTTTTTTATTTACTTGGTATAAAATTAAAATAATCAAATAATAAGTATATCTTCCTTCTTTTGGCGGTATAAATGTAATCGTAACATATTTACGAGAATAAGCATTAATAATACCATATCTTGTGTCTAAATGAAAAATCCTATTTTTTTCGTCTATATTAAACATAAAAGTTGCCGTAACTTTAGAATTATTCGATAATTTAATTCGTTTTTTAACCTTAGAATTTTTATTTGTATTCATAAAGATTCTGTTTGTTGAACAAATTACTTTAGGACCTCAAAATACGAAATGTATAAAATTAGAAAAAATCAAAATAATATAATTTAATTTAAAATTTAATTTAAAAAAAAATCAAAATATTAAATGAAATATTAAATTAAAATATAAAATTAATTTTTTTGTGTATAATTTCATTTAAAAATTAAATTCAAAAATTTGCGCTAAATATAAACATAAAATTTATATTATTAAATATATTATATTATTAAAATTATATTATTAAATATTTAGATACTTTTTATATGTTAAAACTTTAATAGATAAGATAAAGATACCAATGCTATATCCATAGGTAATAATTTTCATATATGGCCCATTATTATCTATGATTATAAAATAATCAACATTCCTAGAAGATACGACTAAAGGCCGATAATAAATTTCACATAAGAATTTTTCATCAGGACCTAGAGTCCAAGTATAAGAATGTAAATGAAATACATGATCCAAAGGATTTGTAATTGGATCTCTTTGAACTTGATATAATTGTTCTTTCTGCAATAATTATATAAATTAATAAAATTTCTCAAAAATATATCAAAAATGCAATTTTCTTTCGAAAAAAACTATTAATAGAGTAATAAAATAAAAAAATGTTTAAAAGGATTTGTAAAAATTTTATATTAAAAATAAAGAGATTATAAAAGTTATTTTTTATTATTAATGTATGTGTGTGTGTGTGTGTGTGTGTGTGTGTGTATTAATATTATAATATTACATCTTGAGATATACATAATTATACAATTAATTATATTAAATATATTTACATAAGATTCATTCCATATCTCTATTGTCTTTGTTGCCGTTTTACCAATTTCCACATTTCCATAGTCAATCTTCATAACTTTCATTTTGTTTTCAAAACTTCAAGAATTTTATTTATTCTTTCTATAATTATATTTTTATAGAAATGCATATATTTTCATTTAAAATATATCTTGTCGAGATTATCGATTTCAATCTCGATCTCTCGTATCTTAGTTTACTTGGGATATATTCGTTTTGTTTTGATACGCAAGGAATGACATATCCGAATTGCATAGATGGTGAATTAAATCTAATCGATTCCTTGAAAACATTTTATAATAATTCTTATAATTTTCTTTTTCTTACTCATATTCTCTAAGAAATTAGCCATAGACATCATCGACTGGTAATCGATGGTGACGTTATCCATATTCTTTATGGCTTTTTGACAGTTGCTATAAAAATGGCTCAATGGAATATTTTATATTTTCTTTGCTTATTATTATTTTTTGTGAACAATTGCATGAATTATAGTTCGTGCGCGTATTCCAATCACTATATTGAATGTGAGATTTTTTGACGAATACACTAGATTTTTTTCTAAAAATAATATTTAATGTATAATTTTTTCTTGTAGATGATTTGAATATGGAAAAATTGTGTCATATATTTAATAAAATGTCAACTATCGACATGAAAATTGGTGCAGTGATAGTCCGAGCAAAGCACATGTTGGATCAATGGAATGTTCATGCTAATTTTCATTGCAAGTTCAAACTTGTAACAACTAAAGGATATGGACTATTTGGAGTCATTCAAAAAATGTCTTTTAGACAAAATAAAACACAATGTATAGATTATGTACAAGTAAATATTAATTTACTTATGTTTAATGAATATTATTAGAATTCTATTAAAGTCATAAAGTTAATATTATATTAATAATAAAATGATTAAATATATAATATATAATTAATATTTAATAATAATAATAAATATAACAATTTTTGAAAATCTATTTTAGTTCAAACGAAAAGATGATCATCGAACAGAGAAGTTTTGTGGTTTTCTTGATCGCAGTAAAATAAAATATTATGAAGTTCCTGAACCAGAAAGCAAAATGCATTTATCTGAATCATTAACAAGAATTTATGCTGAATATGATCCAAGTAGTAAAAAATCTGCAGAATTAGAAACTGAAATATTCATTTCAAAAAAAAAATTGGAAGAGGGAGAATTTCTTACTCTTAACATTGCTTATACTTCTTTTACAAGTAAGTTTATTTAATGCTGATAATTTTTTATAAATATTAAAATAAATTATATTTCTAATCTAATATATTTAATATGTTATAGATTGCAGTAATATAGATCCAAATAAATACATGTCAATTGGCTTAAATACTTGTATGTTGAATGATTTTTTTTGTGATGGAATATATAATTGTGTACCAGGTATTTGTTCTGATGAAGATAAATGTCCAAATAGTATGAATGAAATTATTAGCACTGGTACTGGCACAAAAGTAACAGTAGGTGCAGTGACTACCTTGATTTTATGCTTTATCATATTTGTTATGTGTTTATGGATATGTAAAAGATCACAAAAATTATGTTGGTCTATGGATTGTGCTGATCCAAATGTATGTTCGAGACCAGCGCCATTATCACGCGATACCGAACGATCTGTAAATCCACCAGTTCCCACGGCACCAATGTTAGAAATCGCGGTCTCTTCAGCAGTTGCTGATAAAGATTTACCACCTAGTTATGACTCATTGTTTCCAGAACAAACTAATTCTGTTAGATCATAATTTTGAACATAAGTTCTTATGTGTAACTAATACATTGGCAGCATATTATCTAATGTTTTAATTAGATATTGCTGTACATAATACAAAGTCTTCAAATATATGGTATGAATGAGTGCCTTTCTGAATGAATTAAATATAGTCACATAAACAAGTACTCAGAGAAAGAATATCAATTTTTTTTTAGCATTTTATATCAATTTTTTGATCAATATTATATATATTAACGTTTATAACTGAACATTTTTATATTTTATGTTACACATTCTAAAAAAAGTATACGTAATTATAAAAAAACTATACTGAAATATAAGTATAAGATTTATAATGTGTAAAATATAATGGCCATTATGAAATGTCAATTATTCAAAAAAAAGTTATTTTAGGACAATATTTTGTTTATAGTTTGTAAGTGTCTTTTAATATTGTAAAAATACAGTATTTAATAAATTTAATATTTATACAAAATTGTTTTTTAATCATTAAAAAAATTATTAATTAATTATTAATTTATATTTAATTATAAAATTATAATATAATTTTCTTTACTGTAAATCTGTATCACATGTTGAAACATGTTCATGTAACCATAAACAAGCATTGATAATATTATCAATTTCAGCAGTTCCCGATGCCAATGGATGATTATCTTCATAAAGAAGCATCCTGTAATATAATTAAATGCAAAATAATGTAAAACTTAGCAAAACTTTTAAATTAAAAAAATACAACAATGTTTCCCAAAATTATATAATGAAATTGAAAACTAAGAAATTATTGTAACTTAAAGTAAAAAAAAATCATAGATTTGTCAATAATTACAAATAATTATTAATAAAGATATTAATATTATATTATCTTAAAATTTAGCCTAAGAATATTATGATTTGCACTTTATACTTGATTTATTCTAACTACTTACTTGGTTTTAACATTATTTGCTTTAAGACGTTGGTACCATAACTTTCCTTGAGATGGAGGTACACGTAAGTCATTCGAACCAATACATAATAAAGTAGGAGCTTTTACTTTGTCAACATGAATAATTGGAGAACATTTAAACATCTTTACAAACATTTCAACTCGATCTGATTCTGAGATTGGTATGCTTTCATCAAAAGAATAATTAATTTCAGCAGCACACCTGAAATAAAATGCTTTATGAAATTTGTAATTAAAATAATTTTACATTCAATCTTTTTATTATCAGTTTTTTTTTGTTAAGCTTTATTGTGCTTAATTTTATTAAGCTTACTTAATTCTTTCTTCCTTATTCAGAGTATTGCGACTGCAATATAAATGAAATAATTCCAAAAGAAATTCAATTAAAAAAATATGAAAATATATAAAAATATATTAATGTTTTACCAATCTGGAATATCTGATATAGTGAACATAGCAGCAATATCGATTACAGGATTTCTTGCAACAACAGCTTTATATAAATTCTACAAGAATAAGTTGTTATTAATTGTTATATTAATTTTATAAATTATAGATAAAAGTATATTTATTCAATTCAATATTTGATAAAAATAGCAAGCAATTCATGAACATACTGGATATTGACCACTTAAATGAGCGACTAAGAATCCACCATGTGAACCACCACAAAGTCCTATTTTATTTGGATTTAACCACGAGTATTTTTTTAAAGCTTCGTTTGTAGCAGTTATACAATCTTTTACATCAACATTTCCAACTTTTCCTTGAAGATATTCAACATTTTTTGAACCCATTCCGGTAGAACCACGATAATTAACTTGTATTATTGCAAAGCCTTAAATAAATAATTTTTGTATTATTATGATAATTTAAATATTAAATATTAATCACTATAAAACGAATATTTACCTGATAAAACAAACAAAAAGTAATCGAGTATAAATGAATTTGCATAGTTAGAATGAGGTCCACCATGTATTACAATTATTAAAGGTATAGATTTATCATTTCCACTTTTTGGTCCAAAATAAATGAAATTAAAATGTTCTACAAAATCATTAAAAAATATTTAGTTTATATTTTTTAGTGTTAAAATAAATTACTTACTTATTTCTTCGTCATTATCATAATCATATTCAGAAGGTTCGTACATTAAATTTTCAGATCCAGGAATCATTGTGGAAATAGAAATTTTATTCTTTTAATAAAACCATTGTTAATTGTTTCTGAATCAAATCTTCCTACTGTAAGATAAGGTGGTTCTAAGAGAGAAGTTTCCAAAAACACAATAACATCATTTTTTACATCCAAAATATTAAGACTACTTTTATCATTTTGAATCTCCGTTATTATTTTCGTTTCTATAAATTATGTTTTTGTTATATTATAATCTTATTTTAAGGAGCAAAAAAATTTAATAAATATTAAATATATTTTACTTGTGTGAATAATATAAGATCGCGTATTATTTTGTTGAGGTGTACTTAAAAATATATATTGTGAATCATTACTCCAACATCGATTTGGTAAACGACCATACAAACCATAAAACTTATCAGCATTTTGAATAGATATACTTGATTCTACAATATCTATAAGTACTTTAACCTAAATAGAAAATAACAATACAAATTTGAAAATAGCATTAAATTATACAATTATTATATATATTCTAATATATAATATATAAATATATATCTAATATATAAATACCTTCAAACTTTCAGAATTAAATTCAAGATGCATAAGTCTGTGAGCATTATGGTGTGCACCACCTGCTTCTCTTTCCAACCAAATTAGATATTTTCTATCAGGGCTAAACCTAGGACTATGGACAGCACATCCATCATTTGAAAGATTTTCTAAAAGATTATTAATATAAATATTTATTATTAATAAAATATATACTAATATAAATAAATTAAGAAATAGAAATAGAATATTTCTTACTATATTCTCCATTTTTCAATAAAAATATCCAAGAAAGTCTATTAGTACAGGCAATGAGACCTAAATGTCTTGGTTCATGTTTCCATGCTACACCAATTATACTTTCACTATCTTCAGCCCATAATACTTGAGCAGGCGATAGTTCATCTGGTATACCTGAGAGAACTGAAATTGTGTCTGTTGTTGTATCAAGGACAGCAACAATTGGACGGTATTTACCTACCAATTGTTCTCCCCAATGAGGCTTGTAAATATATTCATTACCCTATATTAAATATTTTATTAAAAAAATTTTAATTATATATATTAAATTTTAATTGTATATTATAAAAAAAATAAAATAATTTACCACTGTTATTTCTTTTTCTTCTTTTTTATCTTTATCTTCTTTATTACATGGTTTTTGTTTATAAAATGGTTCAGATTTTGGTAGTTTTTTTTCAGCAATGTATAATATTTTTCTTTTATCCGGCGACCATTGAAAAGAAGCAAATTGAGCTAAAATAGAAAGAACAAAATCTTTTAATCTTTATTAATTAAATATATTATATATATTATTAAAATTAATAATTACAATCTGTGTATACATCTCCATGCACATCCAATGCTGCTAAATCATAATTTTTTATAAGTTTTTGTTTATCCCAAATTTCAATAAATTGCTTTGTAGTATTCTCAATTGTAGTTTGTCTTAATATAGCTTTATATTGTTGATCTTCAGTATAATCAGATAAAAGCCTTCAATATAAAAATTTTTTTTAGATGTACATCAAAATATAATAATTTTATTTTTATAACATATACATATCATACTCTGTAGTAGTATCAATAGGAAAACATTCAGATTGTATTTGTAGTTCTGAATCTAAAATATAATCCTGACAAAATTTTTGATTTGTTTTCCTTTCCAAATTTCTTTGAGACCATGCACTTAAAATTGATATTCTATTTTCACTTAAATCAAAAATTTTTGCACTATTTAGAGATGGATATTGTGCCAATGTTTTATACAAATTAACAATTTTTTAACCTAAAAATATTTTTTAATTTTATAAAAGCATTTTTTATAAAAAAAACTGATTTAATACCTTTAAATTTTATATACCTGATTTGATGCCATTATATGGAGATATTCCACAATATATTATCAAAGTCTATTAGCAATCTGTACAAAATATGCTACATGAAGGCTTTTAAATATTGATAAGAATTAGATGATAACAAAAGTAAATAATTTAACGCGAAAAATTTGTATCAATGTTTAATATTACATTTTAATTGTTGATAAATGATAATTTTTAAATATGTTAATAATTTATATTTTTTGAGGCAGATAAAAATTGTTTTAAAATTATTTAGATTATTTTATATTTTATAAAATTTATATAGAATATTATTTATTAATAAATTAAATGATAGCAAATAATTAGAAGTCTTCTGTAATATTAAGAACTACACATGTGCACATGTAATAAATAAAATCGCGTAATGAATAGATAAAAATATATAATAAATTTAATTTGTGTAATTTTTAGTACATAAATATTTTTATATTTATACTACAAATGTATTTTATTCATATATATACATACTATTTTTATATGCTTTCCCAACACTTCTGTCAATTTCTTTGAAACATTCATATATTTCTAAATATAATTAAATTAGAAAAATTTACGTATTCGTAGTGTCATCTCGCGTTTGGACACTGGAAGTTCAGACTTATTAATAGAAAGGTAGAATATGTAAGGAGGTATTCGTGACGTCACAAATAAACTTGTATGTGTGAGAAGGATAGAAAGGACATGCCACTAATTTTAATTATACGGTTCCTAATAATTCTCACCATTTTGAAGTATTGAAAATTAATTAATAAAAACCATTTTTTATTAATAATTTTTTCACATTTAAACTTACATTTTAAAATTAAAACCTTAAACAATTTTCTTATATAAATTTTAACAAGAAATTCTTTTTAATTAATTATTTATTAATAATCATTATAGAATGTATCTCAATTACAATGTAAAAAAATGTAATCGAGTAATAAATAAACAATATATTCATTTAAATAATGACAAAATTATAAATAAAAATTATATGAAAATGTAGAAGAGAAAACAAATATTTGAAATACATATATTTATATTTAGAAATAAATTTTATGATAATGTAAAATTAATGAAGAATCTGTATAAAAATCCATCATATGCTGATTACGTCAATTTAATCGTTAATAAATAATTAAATGAAAAGAATCTCTCAATAAAATTTATATAAGAAAATTGTTTGAAATTTTAGTTCTAACATACGAGTTTAAAAGTACAAAAATTATTAGAAAGAAAAACAATAATTAATTAATTTTTAATGTAATGTCTTCGAAGTAAGAAATAATAGGAGCCGTATAATTAAAATTAGTGGCACGTGATCTCTCTCTGTCTTTCTCGCACAGAACTTTCCTTGTTTGTGACGTCACGAATACCTCCTTGTACATTCTATGTTCCTACTAATAAGTCGGAACTTCCAATGTCCAAACGCGAGATGGCACCACGAATATGTAAATTTTTTTAATTAATTTTTTTGCTAATTTATAATATAATTAATGTTTTTATATGCTACATACGTATTTTTTTCTATTTTTATGTATATATGTATTTTTGTAGTTTAATAAGATAAATATAAAACAGATAAATATATTAAATTTTATGATAAGATTAAAAAATTTTAAAATATATTTTCTGCGTATATGAACAATTATTAAATATAAAATTAGTAAATACTTACGTTAAATTTTAGAAAATTTCCTCATTCTTTCACTTCTCAAATTATATTCATTCAACATAAATTTATAAAAAATCTATAAAAAATATTGTTTACATTATAATCAAGAAAAATTTTGAATATCACTTCTTTTCCAATTATATTCTTGTGATACAAAATTATAAATTTGAACAAAAATTTTTTTTAGTATTACAAATTTTGATTTTGATATTAAGAGAATATAATTCGAGAAAATATAATATACGAAATCTTTCTATTTTTAAGAAAAATTATATATTATTATAATAATAAAACTTTTTATATATATTAATTTTGAATTAGTACTTTTTTTTTATTTCACATTAATTTGCAATATGCTAATACATATGTATATCGCAAGCTTAATGCAATTTGTACATATCAAAATCGCAATAAAATAATATAATTTTATCTTAATTATTAATTAAAATATTTAAAAGATGTTTTAAAACAAAAAATTTATTTACAATTTATAATTTTACAAACCTATTTAAGCTACACACTTCAAGCTATATACAATTCGCAACAATTATACATTAATATTTTTTTTGTGAAACATTTATAAAAAATTATATAAAAATAATTTGAAAATCGTCTTATATTATATTATATATTCGAAGAATTAATATTACTCAACTTTAAATCAATAATAAAATAATATATATATTACTATAATATTTCGTTTGATATTGATTTAAAACTGAATAATGTTAATTCTTCGATGAAATATAACATAATTGCATAATTATTAAACTCTGATAATTAATAAAAAAATATTCGATGTTGTATTTTAATTATGTTAAATATTGTAGAAATGTATGAATAGAAGAATAATTTTAAAAAAATTCTCGATAAAATTACATTTTAATTTAGAAACAATAAAAAAAAAATCAAACACATGTTGCGAAATGTTTTTCTTTTGAAGTCATATCTTTGCATAAAATCAAATTATCATATAATTAATATATATATATATATATAT